GGTTATTAGCCTAACTCTCTCACGATACTTGAGTTCACTCGGGTATTAGCCTCGCTACACTCTCGAAATAGATCGGGTCTTAGCCTCTCTAAATCGTTAAACTGGCTCGGGACTTAGCCTCACCAATTCGGTTGCATGATGGAATTCTCACGAACCCTAACACACGGTTTCGAACAAACGTTCTTTTCTATTTCATCAAATCCAAGACATCAAAAACAATGAGGGATGATCCCTATTTATAGATCCTAACTAGCTCTAATTCTAATCTACCTAGGAAACATATTAAAGCAATAAAATATTAACTTCCTGAACAATCTAGATACTATTGTGGAAGTAGAAAACTAAATATACTAGAGTCCTAAATTGACTAGATCTTGATTTTGCTTGGCTTGCATCCAAACAAATCCAAACCACACGCCCCAATTATTTTCAGCCGCTTCATGACTTGCGCGTCGCACATGCGTGCGCCGCCTTAGTACTCACACTCCTCGTCGGCCTAAGTCTCTTGCGCGCCCACCTTGCTCGTGCGCCTATGCGTGCGCCCCGTCTGCATCCGGCTTCCTCGCGCGTGTGGGCGTTGCTCCCCTCGCCCATGCCTACCGCGCATAGGCATGCGCCCATCCAGTCCCGCGCAATCACGCGCCCTCATCCGTTAATCTCGCGTGCGTATGTCCTGCTGCCCCGCACTCCTACGCCTTTGCGGTTTCGGCTTCCGCCCACGTGACCTTCACCCGCACGCCCAGTCCGCCCGTCGCTCGCTGCCCGCGCGTACCTCCCGTCACCCGCGGCCTGCTCGCCTACCGTGCACCCGCGTGCACCCAATGCTGACCGCGTGCTGACCACCCGCACTCGCGCATCACCGCCCGATGCGCGCCTTTCGCCCGTTCGACCATCGATCACCCCCGACCATCCTTCAGCCTCGACGACCACTTTCGTATCATTCCCCTCCTCTTCAAGACGTTCCTTGTCCTCAAGGATGAGAAAGTTCAGCACGTCCACATCACTATCTTCTTCTTCAACGGGGAATTCACCTTGATCCTCAGTCATTAACTTAATGCGCTTTCCTGGTCGTCCAAACTCCATCTTTTCTCGCTTGTAGTCAGTCGTAATAGGTCCAAGCGTTTCCAGCCATTGTACTCCTAGCACAATATCTGTTGCCTTAAGCGGTAAGGCATAAAGATCAATCTCCAGCTCGTGATCCTGTGCCATTATCGGGACCTTCTTGAATAATTGACTTCCCTGTAGCTCGTGTCCATTGGCCACCTTAACACCAAACTTCTTGACTTTTGTGGGTACTAACTTCAGCTTTTGTGCTATCCTTTCATCGATAAAATTTAAACTCGACCCACTGTCCACCAGGACCTCCAACAACATATCCTTTACCTCGGTCGTGAATCTGATCATCCTAGGACCACGCTTGTTGCACTTCACCATGTGCAACCAGGACTCTTTCTG